ATATGATCAGAGCTTGGTTGTCTGTCCTTCCATATGATCAGAGCTTGGTTGTCTGTCCTTCCATATGATCAGAGCTTGGTTGTCTGTCCATCCATATGATCAGAGCTTGATTGTCTGTCCATCCATATGATCAGAGCTTAGTTGTCTGTCCTTCCATATGATCAGAGCTTGGTTGTCTGTCCTTCCATATGCTCACAGCTTGATTATCTGTCCATCTAAACGATCAGATCTTGATCATCTGTCCTTCCATATGATCAGAGCTTGGTTGTCTGTCCTTCCATATGATCAGAGTTTGATTGTCTGTCCTTCCATATAAGATCTTGATCATCTGTCCTTCCATATGATCAGAGCTTGATTGTCTGTCCATCCATATGATCAGATCTTGGTTGTCTGTCCTTCCATATAATCAGAGCTTGGTTGTCTGTCCATCCATATGATCAGAGCCTGGTTGTCTGTCCATCCATATGAACAGAGCTTGATTGTCTGTCCATCCATATGATCAGAGCTTGGTTGTCTGTCCATCCATATGATCAGAGCTTGGTTGTCAGTCCATCCATATTGTCAGAGCTTGGTTGTCAGTCCATCCATATTATCAGAGCTTGGTTGTCAGTCCATCCATATAATCAGAGCTTGGTTGTCAGCCCATCCATATAATCAGAGCTTGGTTGTCAGCCCATCCATATTATCAGAGCTTGGTTGTCAGTCCATCCACATTACCAGAGCTTGGTTGTCAGTCCATCCATATTATCAGAGCTTGGTTGTCTGTCCATCCATATTATCAGAGCTTGGTTGTCAGTCCATCCATATGATTAGAGCTTGGTTGTCTGTCCATCCATATGATCATCAGAGCTTAGTTGTCAGTCCATCCATATAATCAGAGCTTGGTTGTCTGTCCATCCATATGATCATCAGAGCTTAGTTGTCAGTCCATCCATATGATCATCAGAGCTTGGTTGTCAGTCCATCCATATTATCAGAGCTTGGTTGTTAGTCCATCCATATGATTAGAGCTTGGTTGACTGTCCATCCATATGATCAGAGCTGGGTTGTCAGTCCATCCCTATTGTCAGAGCTTGGTTGTCTGTCCATCCATATTATCATCAGAGCTTGGTTGTAAGTCCATCCATATGATTAGAGCTTGGTTGTCTTTCCATCCATATGATCATCAGAGCTTGGTTGTCTGTCCATCCATATGATCATGAGCTCATTACAAAGCTGCCTGCGTGAGCAACTGTTTGACTTGATGCTGGTGAACAGACGGGGCAGTATGTGATGGCCCAGTTAACAATCTGGATGTGGCATGATGGCAAATTAGTTTACAATTTATATAAGGTAAAAGCTTTCAGGGTCATTAAATTAATCATTTACTATTATCAAAGATGGCAAGGTCAAAACAGTTTAAGATCATCAAAAATGCAGGTAGCCCTTAGGAACTTAGTAAATACATTATTCTGTCAGCTCTGTTGAAGTTGAATTGATGATTTATTGATTTTCATGTAAGAGGTTTACCTTCAATGTCATAGTACTGTATCATCCCTTTGTCTTAAACATAATATCATCTTCACAAGTATAAGATAAAGTAACTTTGATGTATCATTTAATTCCATTTACCTGACACATATCAGCATTATTAACCATGAGACTTACCAAACATTTTCATGCATTTATGCTTTCGGAAAATAATTTAGGAAACCTACGCTGCTTTGCTGGTCTGTCTGAATTGTTTGTCCAGGCCTTAACTTTGCTGGTTTGTCTGAATTGTTTGTACAGGCCTTTACTTTGCTGGTCTGTCTGAATTGTTTGTCCAGGCCTTAGCTTTGCTGGTCTGTCTGAATTGTTTGTCCAGGACTTAACTTTGCTGGTCTGTCTGAATTGTTTGTACAGGCCTTAACTTTGCTTGTCTGTCTGAATTGTTTGTCCAGGCCTTAACTATGCTGGTCTGACTGAATTGTTTGTCCAGGCCTTAACTTTGCTTGTCTGTCTGAATTGTTTGTCCAGGCCTTAACTTTGCTTGTCTGTCTGAATTGTTTGTCCAGGCCTTAACTTTGCTGTTCTGTCTGAATTGTTTGTCCAGGCCTTAACTTTGCTTGTCTGTCTGAATTGTTTGTCCAGGCCTTAACTATGCTGGTCTGACTGAATTGTTTGTCCAGGCCTTAACTTTGCTGTTCTGTCTGAATTGTTTGTCCAGGCCTTAACTTTTCTGGTCTGTCTGAATTGTTTGTCCAGGCCTTTACTTTGCTGGTCTGTCTGAATTGTTTGTCCAGGCCTTTACTTTGCTGGTCTGTCTGAATTGTTTGTACAGGCCTTAACTTTGCTGGTCTGTCTGAATTGTTTGTACAGGCCTTAACTTTGCTGGTCTGTCTGAATTGTTTGTCCAGTCCTTAACTTTGCTGGTCTGTCTGAATTGTTTGTACAGGCCTTAACTTTGCTTGTCTGTCTGAATTGTTTGTCCAGGCCTTAACTATGCTGGTCTGACTGAATTGTTTGTCCAGGCCTTAACTTTGCTGGTCTGTCTGAATTGTTTGTCCAGGCCTTAACTACTGACTCTCTGAAGAAATCTTTATGACATTTTAGTGATATATGTAGTGTGTGTCGCATACCACAATTGGGTGTGTACACCCAAGGTCAATGTCAATGTCACAATGAGGTCAAAGGTCAAAGGTCAAAGTTATTGTCCAGATCATAACTTCGAACTTGCTTAAGATAACTAAGTGAAATTTTAGATTAAGATATAGGATAGTAAGGCAGTGTGTCACATAACACTATTGGGTCCTATGCTTAAGGTCAAAGTAACATTGAGGTAAAAGGTCAAATACATCTTCCAGACCATATTTTCTGACTCCCTAAAAATAACTTCATCAAATTTTAATGATGGATGTAGGATGGTAATGGTGTGTTGTGTACCACTTTTGGATCTGTATGCCCAAGGTCAAGGTCACATGAGGTCAGATGTCAAATTCATCACACAGGCCATAACTTCTGACTTGCTGAAATTTGCCCAATGGAATTTTAAGAATTGATGCAAGATAGCATGGTGCTATGTTGCAAACTTTTTTTGGATTTGTACACCCAAGGCCAAGGTCACTTTGGGGTTAAAGGTCAAATTCAATATTGGGACTATAACTTCTGACTTACTTAAGAAACTAAATGACTTTTAATGGGTAGATGAAGGTTGGCAAGATTTTTTGTTTCTTACCAGTATAAGGTTTGTGTGCCAAAGATCAAGGTGACATTGAGGTCAAAGGTGAAAAATACATTGTCTTGATGACCTTTTTAGGGAATTATAATCTGTTAGATTTACTGATTTCTTGTCATTAACTAGTACACTAGTATTTCACCCAAGCACTTCTACCTATTGGGAGGTTTTTCATTTTGAGGATTTTTAGGTCACCTGAGACAACGTCCGGCGTCCGTCATGCGTCCGTAAACAATTTTCATTTTCGACTTCTTCTCCAAAACCCCTGAACCAATTTCAATGAAACTTTGCAGAAACCTTCCATGGCCAAAGGTCAACTAAAATTGTGAATTATATGGTCCCCAGCCCCCATGGGCCTGAAGGGTAAAATTGACTAAAATTTCAAAAATCTTCTTCTCAAGATCGTGGTATGGTAGAATCAAATACTCTTCACAGATGGAAGGGTCTTCAGGAGCTTTACCAAAATTGTGAATTTCATGACCCTGGGGTCTCACGTTTCCCCCTGGGGAGGGGGTAAACTTTACTATAGTTTATATAGGGAAATCACATTTTGGACCAACTTTGTTTAATTGCCATTGGAAGTAATTAAATTTAGGTTTGCATGCTAGATATTGAATAAGGTGGTTTTCTTGTTTTTTATTGTAACTTTGAATAATATTTCTGTTCATGTTAAAAACAAAAATCAATTCTCTGTATAAATATATCAGGTGACCGTTAAGGCCCATGGGCCTCTTGTTATATTATGGAAGAATAGTGAAATTTAAACCATAGTAGCATGTTGTGTTTGTAACTAAATTCTAGTGTAACATGTTTTGTGTGTTACAAATGTTTACCTTTACAGAATATTTGACATTGTAGTTTTTTCCAATAGAAATGTGACTATAACACAAAGGATTTTTTTTTTTCAACAGATTGGCTGGTAGAACATCCTTGATCAAGGATTACAAGGAAAAGTTTGACTGTGCAGAGAAGGTGACGTTCGATATAACGGAGATTGATATACACTCAGTGGCATCGTTGGTGAAGATGTACCTCAGGGAGCTTCCCGATTCCATCATTCCTTCTCAGTTTTATCAGAAGTTCATGAATATTGCTCTTAACTTTCAAGATGCTCGGGATCTTGACAGTAAAATGGAAGTTGTAGGTGAAGCTAATGTGGCTATTTCAGAACTTCCTGATGAAAATTACAATTCCCTAAGTTACATGTGTACATTTTTCTTTGATGTAGGTGAAAAATCAAGTATTAATAAAATGACACATCTAAATCTAGGGACTGTTTTAGGTCCCAATATTTTACGAAATATAACGGAGGTCAATACTCCAGAATTACTGATGGCAACAGCTGATCTCACTCAACAGTTGGCTTATATGTTGGTGTGTTACCCAGACAAAATATTTACCAAAGAAACAGAGAGCCCCCTACATGTTCCTGTGGACACGCTGCTCGATCTAAGTCCAGATGAAGAGACCAAGGATATTGGGAGCCTCCTCCAGCCTATGACAGGGGGGGAAAACTTCAGTCAACCTCTGATTCGCACAAGTTTGCTAGAGGAGCTCAAAGACATTCAGTTTGCTGACATTGATGTGTTTTCTCTCCCACAGAATGATCTGTCTCCTGTAAGTGACTTGTCCGACAAAACATCAGAGTCAGTCAGTTCCACAGATAATATGTGTGATGATAACAATGACCCTGATAGACCTATTGCCCCAAAAAGGAAGAGTAAGCTAGAGCGAGGTCGGCGGGTCAGTGAACGGGCCAAGAATGACCCTTGTCCACCATCCCCCACCTCTCCAACATTGTACAAACCAGACAGGTCAAGTCTCAAGAAGCGCAATAGGAACTCCTTGGACATCAATGGAGCCGGCATTGTGATACGGAACCATGAATCTCAGTGGGACAGGAGGTCGGTACAGGGCACAAGTGAGGGTGATAAAATATCAAAGTTGCGGCAGGAGGTGCGTGACCTCCATCAGACAATTGATGATATGAAACAGAAACATAACGAGGAGGTTTCCGCCACATCATTGAAGTATGAGAAACGTATCAAGGCGCTCTCTTCACAGCTGGAAACTATGAAGGAAAAGTATGACAAACATGTTTCTTCTCTGGAGAAGTCTAAGAAAGAGGAGATAAAAAATCTCTGTGTAAAACTGGAATCTGAACGATTATCAAGAAATGATGCTGTGAAGCGAGTGATTGAGCTGCAGACACGGCTACAACAATATCAGTCTGAGTTTGGCGTGATGGAGACTTAGTAGTACTCTAGGTGTGAAGTAGTACTCTAGGTGTGAAGTCAGAAGAAACACTATACTAGTATATTGCCAAACATTTACACACTAGGACCTGCTTTTATCTAATTTTCTTTAATCAGCTTAATGTCACATGAAGGTAATAATTTAAATGTGTTTAAAAATGACTTAATGAGTCACTGAACTGGTGAAGCTCGATACAGCTGGACCCAGAGCCACGAGGCACTGAACTGGTGAAGCTCGAAACAGCTGGACCCAGAGCCACGAGTCACTGAACTGGTGAAGCTTGATACAGCTGGACCCAGAGCCAAAATGTTGTTAATACTGTAGTAATGGTTTGGATGTTCTTTCATGGTTTAGAACATTCACAATCCTGGTTTTTGTGTCGACTGCAACGCGAGGCGACAAATAACTTTGTCGGCGGCATTGGTTGCGTCATCTGAAACAAGGTTTCTGTGCAATAACTTGAGGTCCCTTGGGTTGATTGAACTCAAACTTGGTACACATATTGCATATATATATAGCAATATAGTTTGGACAAGTTCGCATTTCAGAAGTTTACGTGCATTTTTGGTGGCGTTATGCCCCTTTTATTGGTAAATAAGGGCATTGTGTAGTAAATGCTAGATTATTTTGATTTTTTAATAAATTCCTTTCAAATTTTGTACGATAATGCTAGAAGCAATAATGTTCAACACATATTACAGGTTTTTCTGTCGAGTTTCAACTTTCTGCGTTTTGGCATATCTGTTTACGCGCTAACTCAAGCCAAAACACTTTTGTTACTAAAGCGCTGAGCAGGCGACACATCCACTCCCGTCTAATTCTTGTATCCTACTTACTTTACTATTCCTCTTACATTGTCCCTCCGCCACCTTCCACCAAACATACCATATTTCCATTCTCTTTCCTACACAACCCTTCCAATACCTCGTCCTAAATTCCTTTTTTTATCAACTGGACATAATCTGATCTGATCAAACTATCTTGCCAAAATGAGCTCAGCAACAAAGGTCATATACCCAATGTAGAATAGTGGTTTTAATTTATTTGATGTAAACAGAATGCTAACGTAACAATGTGATTATGTAAAGTTTATACTATAAACAAGTGGTTTGTTTATTTGTGAAGTACCCACCTGTATTTGTGTGGTTGGTATAGTGCCATATTGTACCAGTGACCAAGACATACCTAGGGTGATGTCGTCAGATAAAACTAGGATCAGGTCCACCACCCCCAACATGTTTCACCAGATTTTACAGACAGGGTAGATGGAAGCTCCTTGTAAGGTTAAGTGGGGATCAACATTTGTTAGGGTACATAAGTTGCTCCAATTTTAAGGATTAGGCACTAAACGAGTAAATGAAGTACTCACTTGGACCCCGGATTTAGCCGAGAAGGACAAACCTTGTACCCAGTAGTTACACTACACTTATCTCCCATCCTCTATTCACGGCCTTATTTCATAATCAATTAGGCCAAGGTGCCATATAATAAAGGGACTCCATTATCCTTACCATCACATACAGGTCATTTCTTTGTTATATAACCAGTTAGGTACTATAATAGGTACCCCAGAGTTTTTCAGTTAAAATTGTGTATGAACACTTCAGTGTTTTCATACATGGTTATGCTTCCACTTTGTAAAAGGTGCTGATACTTGCTTATATGTATTTGAAATAGTTTTTATCAACATATCGTTATCTCATTGTATGGTCAGTGTATATATATATCATCTAACTCCCATATTAAATGCTTTATATCCATCACCAACTATTAACTGTACAGTAATACCTTAATAGAGAGTAGATAATGATACAAGGGAAGATCTACTGTACAGTAATACCTTGATAGAGGGTAGATAATGATACAAGGGGAGGTCTACTGTACAGTAATTCCTTGATAGAGGGTAGATAATGATACAAGGGGAGGTCTACTGTACAGTAATACCTTGATAGAGGGTAGATAATGATACAAGGGGAGGTCTACTGTACAGTAATACCTTGATAGAGGGTAGATAATGATACAAGGGGAGGTCTACTGTACAGTAATACCTTGATAGAGGGTAGATAATGATACAAGGGGAGGTCTACTGTACAGTAATACCTTGATAGAGGGTAGATAATGATACAAGGGGAGGTCTACTGTACAGTAATACCTTGATAGAGGGTAGATAATGATACAAGGGGAGGTCTACTGTACAGTAATACCTTGATAGAGGGTAGATAATGATACAAGGGGAGGTCTACTGTACAGTAATACCTTGATAGAGGGTAGATAATGATACAAGGGGAGGTCTACTGTACAGTAATACCTTGATAGAGGGTAGATAATGATACAAGGGGAGGTCTACTGTACAGTAATACCTTGATAGAGGGTAGATAATGATACAAGGGGAGGTCTACTGTACAGTAATACCTTGATAGAGGGTAGATAATGATACAAGGGGAGGTCTACTGTACAGTAATACCTTGATAGAGGGTAGATAATGATACAAGGGGAGGTCTACTGTACAGTAATACCTTGATAGAGGGTAGATAATGATACAAGGGGAGGTCTACTGTACAGTAATACCTTGATAGAGGGTAGATAATGATACAAGGGGAGGTCTACTGTACAGTAATACCTTGATAGAGGGTAGATAATGATACAAGGGGAGGTAGTTCTCACTTTCTACATGTACAATAGTCAAAATTGTACAAGAATCTAGCACACTAATCACATTTTGATGATGAGATGGATGATAATGTACAATGTGTTATTTAATGTTATTGTGGACACTGATGAGGTGTTTATATTTCTTGTCAAAAAATATTGTAAAATGTACATTATCAGGTGTTTCTATGTTATGCAAATCACTGGTTGCTCAAAGTAGAATTTTGTTTTCTCTCTGATAATTCCCTTGTAAATGCTTTTGAATATCAGAATTGTTTCAAACTAGGTTAATGGTTAGATTGTGCAAATCATGTTCTATGATAAGACAAATTTTGAAGACTGAAGAATGGTGGCCTACAAATGCGTTGTTTCTTTGTATATATGGTATTGTAGACAGTATTGCCATTTCTCTATTGTTATGCTATGTGTGATATTTACTTGTCTTTCGTTCAGTAATTTGATGCCATGTTAAATTTTATTTCACTTTGATTTCATCATGAAAAACATCACAGATTTAAAGGGGAACATGTGTAATACTTACACAAGTAGACTTCTTGGGTTTTACTGGGCATGTTTTTAAATGATTTTATTGAAAATACTCAATATTATATCTCAAATGTATTCAGAATTCCTAGGCCATTGTCATAATATAATTGTAACTGTCACTCTCAGAGTGTAACCTCACTGGTGTCTTGTTTGATCCTACAGAAGTTTGGAGTCCAGTAACATTTTTCAGTGCACCTGGCCCAATCGGTCAGGTGTGTTTATACCATGGCTCTGCATCAGCCATTTATTGTCCCTCCATCAGCAAACCCTTCTCTTCCAGAACAGCTGAGTGGAATTGACTTACTTCGATCTGGAGCATTGTTGGGCCAAAGGGACTCAACATTGTATAAAAGGAGGATATGCCTCCCCTGGGGACAGACGAATGAGGCCCAATATGGGAAATATACAACCGAAAGTAAAGGTTTTAATCCTAGTCTTTTTGTACCATATTTGGTCAGGAGCATCCTTGGGCCAAGTGGGCTAAATGTTGTAAAAACAGACGATGTGGCCTCCCTTGGTGGTAAAGTAATTACTGGTTATACTCCCTGCAACAAAGATAGGGGGTATATTGGAATCAGGTTGTCTGTCCATCCGTCTGTCTGTCTGTAGACACCATCTTATTCAGCCGACTGCACCTACAGTTTTTAGCCAGATTTCTTGAAATTTCACTGAGGCAGTCAACACATTTTGTAGTTGTGCACCTGTGATTAAAATTTTGATCTGGCCTTTTTATGGGAGTTATGCCTCATGTGAAAGTTAGCCAAAAAAAAATCTAGGAATATCTTTTATACTTTTTCACCTGGTGTAATCAGATTTAGTAAATAAGTACAACTTGGGATGGCAAGAGTGTTAAGTGCAAAAACTGTGACCTATATGTTCACTTTTGACCTCAAAAGTTTATCTGGAGTATATCTTCTGTACTGTTTCACCTGGAGTGACCAGATTTGGTATGCAGGTATTTCTTGGCTAGCAGAGTGCAAGAAGTATGTCACTGTGACCTATGTCCTGTGGTAAGTGTACAGAGAAATCATTACCAGTGGTGGACTATGTGGACTATGCCTTGTTTGTTTAAAAATGTTCTCAAAAAAGTATTCCTGCCGTATGAGTCTGCCATTCTGATGGCAACACTTGATTTACTCAACCTGGGACTGGAATATGTTGAGGATAAGGGGACTCAATGTTGTATATTGAAAAGGTATAGCACCCACACTTGGGCTAAGGGGCTGGATCTGCCATGGGGAATCAGGGCATTGCTATGAAGCATCCTTGTAACAAGGCAATCAAATGGTATGTTAAGTTTCTGAGAGGCAAAGCCACAAAATGGTGAAATATTTGCAGTATTACTTTAAGCAAAATATTTTGACATGGTTGTTTAAATATCCAGGTGAATGATACAGGCCCTCTGGACTTACTGTTTCTGTCCTCCTACCAAGTTTGGTGATAGCTTTTCCCATTTTCAAAACTGTCTTTTTCTTGTTGAAGAGTAAACAGTCTATTATTCCTGATTGATCCAGTTGGCTAAATGATTTATCTGAGCAAAGTTATCATTTCCATGATAGTTCCAACTGAATGCTTCTATAAAGTTGCCATTGGTCACAATTTTATCCTAACTAAAAGTCTACAGTCACCTTTGTACTTATACTGTAGGCGTCCATACTTACTGACATTGTTACATTGTACCAGTAACACTGCTCACAGGTCCTGGTTGTATACTGGAGAGACTGTCACTGGATTACCTACCTGGTACCCTTTAACGGTTTTATATATCACATATTGCCAAGATTTACATTGCAAAGCTTGTATTGCCAATCTAGCATCACTTTATATAAGAGTAAGTTTCAGACCAGAACTAAATCTCAAGGAAAATTAAACATTCCAACAGGCAGTAATATTTATTTCTATGAAATTTACAATTAAAAACCTTCTCATCTGTTTTTTTAATCAATCCATCTTTTTTGTAAAAATGCTTATGATTAGTTTTAATGCTTTTTATTATCACAAATGATTTTTAAAGGTTCTGCAAAAATTGAATATTTGTGTTCAAAAACAGAATATTTCTCTTTTTATATTAAAATTTTAAGTATATGTACAATTATTTGATTTCTGAAAACAGATACACTTTTTATAACTAGAGAAATCTATGCTTGAAGCCCATTTTTATGTAGCTGATGATTCATTTTAAAAACAAAATTTGACCCCATCCTGAACCTGCAGGATGGGAGTAGTAATGTGTTGTATTGACTCAGAGATAAGATTAGTTTCTTCAACTTACCAAGTGATCAGGCCGTATTATTTCAGCTTAAAGATGACCAGTGGCCATTCTCACACATAAGTTATTACTGATGTTGACAGATGATGACTCAGGAGCTGAGCACCTCTCCTAATCTCACTGGAGCTGGGTGTACACAGGTGGAGCTGTATGAGTCAGCCTGTCCCCTTGTTTAGCTCCCAGTGATCAGCCATTTGTCATAACACTACTCTACTATAACAAATCTTTTTCTGAACAATTTGTTTAGTCTGTCTTTATTCTTAACCCGGATATATCTAAAGATCCTGCACTATGCAAAAAAATAAATCTTCAAAATAAATCACAATAGAAAGGCTAGAAACACAAAATAAAATAGGTAGAAAATAAATATTTTAATTAAAATCCAAGTTTCATGTCGACATATGTGTTCACTGACCACAGCTTTCAGTCAATACACTAGAAGATATTACAGGATTGTAACCCTTGGTTAGAGGACATATTGTTTATGAATGTCAATAATGTAACATGTTTGGATCAAAAAGGAATTTTAAAAACTGAGAAAAAAAAGCTCAACCATCAGCTCTGTATGCAGAGATTGGTTTAGGAAGTCCTAACTAAGCAGAATTATTGGCCTCCAGTAATTCCTCATTGACCTTGAGTCAGCAGACGGCCTAACATCCTCTATCATTATACTATCAGCATTAACACATCATTGGAGCATGGTGTCATAGATGATCATCAACTTGATTGACTATTAACTATCAATCAAATTATCCTGTGTGTTAACATGGTGTTAGGGGTCAAGTGTAAAATCAATATTCCTGATCAGTTCAAAACTTATCTCATTGCCAGCCATACTCTGCCACAAGTAAGTTTCTCTGTGGCAAGCCATACTCTGCCACAAGTAAGTTTCTCTGTGGCAAGCCATACTCTGTCACACATAAGTTTCTCTGTGGCAAGCCATACTCTGTCACACGTAAGTTTCTCTGTGGCCAAGCCATACTATGTCACACGTAAGTTTCTCTGTGGCAAGCCATACTCTGTCACACGTTAGTTTCTCTGTGGCCAAGCCATACTCTGTCACACGTAAGTTTCTTTGTGGCCAGCCATACTCTGTCACACGTAAGTTTCTCTGTGGCAAGCCATACTATGTCACACGTAAGTTTCTCTGTGCCAAGCCATCCTCTGCCACATGTAGGTTTCTCTGTGGCCAGCCATACTCTGTCACACGTAAGTTTCTCTGTGACAAGCCATACTCTGCCACACGTAAGTTTCCCTGTTGCCAAGCCATACTCTGTCACACGTAATTTTCTCTGGCAAGCCATACTCTGTCACACGTAAGTTTCTCTGTGGCAAGCCATACTCTGCCACATGTAAGTTTCTCTGTGGCCAGCCAAACTCTGTCACACGTAAGTTTCTCTGTGGCAAGCCATACTCTGCCACATGTAAGTTTCTCTGGGTCAAGCCAAACTCTGTCACACGTAAGTTTCTCTGCCAAGCCATACTCTGTCACATGTAAGTTTCCCTGTTGCCAAGCCATTCTCTGTCACACGTAATTTTCTCTGTGGCAAGCCATACTCTGTCACACGTAAGTTTCTCTGTGGCAAGCCATACTCTGTCACACATAAGTTTCTCTGTGGCAACCCATACTCTGTCACACGTAAGTTTCTCTGTGGCAAGCCATACTCTGTCACACGTAAGTTTCCCTGTTGCCAAGCCATTCTCTGTCACACGTAAGTTTCTCTGGCAAGCCATACTCTGTCACATGTAAGTTTCTCTGTGGCAAGCCATACTCTGCCACACGTACATTTCTGTGGCCAGTTTCACTCTTGTCACACCAACATTTTTTCATAAGGTTGAAAAACTGTCTGTTGCCCTTTTGATACATTTTCTAAAATGTTGAAATCCCAAAATGAGATAAGTGATTTCTTTGCTCATGTTTCACTGGTAGAATTTTTTTATGGCTTTTTAGTTGTCTGTTTATATGCTACAAATGTGATTTGGCTCCTTGGAGCTGTGAACTGTCCTACTTTATGATGAAATTTTACAACAAACTTGGCTGTAGGTCTGTAAAACAGACTCAAGACCAACATTCAATATATACCACATGTTTATGGTACTGAACAGGTGTAGGACAAACTGCTCAACCTTAAGTATTACATTAATAGTATAGAGCTCATTGTGTAGCACAGTGAATATTTATTTTGAACTTCCCCTTGCTTTGATTGTGCCATGATACAACTTGTTACGCAATGTGTTCTACTTTTGTTTTCCAATACGTTAATGTTACGGTTTGTATAGATTGTTTGGTGTACATTTTCTATTAAGTTGGTTCGACAGAAATCACTTCCACTGTTTCCTTCCTTGTTATTGTTGGAATGTTCTATTGTTGATGTTAGCTGGTGTAATGAATTCTTGGTCATTATTGTAACGCTAGGTTTCACCCTGTTGTTGCCCTGTTATTGTGTGTATATAACTGTTACGGTTAACCTGTATAGCTGTATACAGCACTGGTTTATTAGGTATAGTTTTAATGTTAATTTCCCATAATCATATATATCTTAAGTCCAGCATGCTTTAGTTTCTGGGCATGTAAACATTCACAATCGTCACCGAATTTACACAAAGAAAACTTATGAACATGGAGGTGCCATCACAACACAACCCGACGTCCCCCTCAGTTAGCGGTACTTTATTTACAACCTGATGTCCCCCTTAGATAGCGATGCTTTATTTACTGTTAACTATATATTACATGTCGACTGGTTTCGCCTGGGAGAGGGCTTTGTCAGGGCAAAGAAAACTTGATGATGTCAAATTCAAATAAAGTATGAAGATATTGCTCTATTCACAAGTACTAAAAGAGACACTCTTTTTCTTTACAATAAAATGGTAAACAAATTTCACATAACCGGGTAAATTTTGTAAGCAATCATTTTCCATGGTTTTATTTCCTGGGATGACTCCGTGAGCTGAGTATGATTTAGTGAGCTATGTAAAGTTAAGTTTAAAGAATTGTCAGAATCAGTTTGATGTTTCCTGCACATTCTCAAAACCTGAGAAATAAAATTTTGTGGAAAAGACTGTAAACTTGAATAATAAGTCACAAAGTTATTGCTCATTCTACTACACTGGCAATGGAAGGTCACTTTCCATTGTTAATAATCATAAAATATTGGACCATAACATATGAATGTGCAGATAATATTTTTCAACAAACTATGAAGTGTGTTTTTCTGAAGCTTTTCCCATATCATCACATGATAAATGATTGCACACACAAATGAACACTTACCTGTACAAACAATATTTACCTCACCACACAGTCTTTACCTGAAGATACAGTATTACCTAACCACACAGTCTTTACTTGACCACACAGCTTTACCTGACTAAACAATCTTTACCTGACCACGCACAGACTTTATCTTACCACACTTTACCTGGCCACACAATATTTAGTTTACCACACAGTCTTTACCTGAACATAGAGTCTTTACCTGACCACACAGCCTTTACCTGACCAGTCTTTACCTGGCTGCACAATATATACCTGACCACACAGACTTTACCTTACCACACCATCTTTACCTGACCACACAGACTTCACCTGACCACACAGTCTTTACTTAACCACACTGACTTTACCTGACCATATAGTGTTTACCTAACCAGTCTTTTCCTGACCACACAGACGTTACCTAACCACATAGTCTTTACCTGACCTGACCACACAGTGTTTTCCTAACCACAAGGTCTTTACCTAACCACACAGACTTTACCTGACTACATAGAATTTACCTGACTACATAGACTTTACCTAACCTCACAGACTTTACCTGACCACACATTATTTACCTAATCACAGTCTTTACCTTACCACACCATCTTTACCTAACCACACAGACTTTACCTGACCATATAGTGTTTACCTAACCACACAGTGTTTAGTTTACCACATGGCTTGTCAACCAGTGTATACAATGGGTGTATAGCAGATTCTACTGATATTACAATTTGTAGTATAAGATGAAATATTGGTTTTATCACATCTGTATTCAAATTATACATCTATTTGTGGTACATGTATGCCTTCCACAATATGAAGTTTTGGTCAATATTACTATAATTGATATGATTATTTATTAAATAACTATACTTGTACTAGTCAATTAAATTGCAATAAGTATACTATACAAATGTAAATTGTTAATTTTCTGAATCAGAGTAGGTTACGGTTTTTACACTTCACATATAATTAATTTGGTGTCCGTTTTAATGATTCTCTCCTTGATAATGTCTTGTGCCATTAAACTTAAAATTGGTGTAAACATTACTGATTTACTGGCCAGTATACACAATGTACTGATAATATGAGTCTGTATTTTACAGTTTTTGAACAGTTTTTTTTAGATAAAAACTGCTATATATCCTAGAGTAGTGCACACTGCAATGCTAACCAGATACAGTGCAGCACTGTGGACTGGTTATACACCAAAGTATAAAATAATTTATAGACTGGCTATATATCCTAGAGTATAGTGATGTATGGACTGGCTATATAGCCTAGAGTATAGTGATGTATGGACTGGCTATATAGCCTAGGGTATAGTGATGTATGGACTGGCTATATATCCTAGGGTATAGTGATGTATGGACTGGCTATATAGCCTAGAGTATAGTGATGTATGGACTGGCTATATA